GAAAAGTGGGGGTCGTCTTGTACATGGGGGCGTCTTATTGTCGGAAAAATACGGTAAGTATGTGATACAGCATATGGATTTATTGGAAAAGTGTGGGCATAGTGAATGATATTGCTATAAACTATATTTGGCTATCTTTATCTTACGACTTTAATTTCATTGGCGTACTAGTTCTCCCTTTCTGAGCTTTGTATGCTGTTGCTTACCATAAAAGGGAACAGTGTGATGGGTACGTTTGCATGTATTTAAAAATCTGTTAACACCATGGAACATTTGACTGCTTATCTGCTACTTCATGATTGAAACCAGTTCTATATCAACCTTGTTTCTATAAATTATTTCTAAAATAGTTACTTTCTGCAGATCTTGTAGCTAAGAACTAATCTTTATTTTGATGGTTTTTGTTTTTTTTGTTTTTTTTAGGTTCCCCCCTCCCAAAAAACCCACATTTTAGGAACAATCTTCTGAAATAATTTACACACCATCACACAATTCCAGATGACTGTACCTATTTTTCCTGCTCAGATGTTATATTCTAAAGCACTTCAATTAACCAACATATGCAAGCTTCACTGATACTTCTATCAGAAGTATTCCTTTCCTCGACTCTGGAGAAGAGTGAAGAAGTGCGTTTGCACATAGCATTACTCTCTGTGTACAGGAGCTTGCTGTTTAAGAGGTACAGCTACAATGTATGATTGCATATGATTGTGCAATTTCACATTATGTTGTGTTTAAAAAACGGGGAGGTTGCACTTCTACAAGTGTGCCAGGATACAATACAATATAAAGCATATTTGTATACAGAACTTTTCTTTGGACTGGATTTTATTCTAAAATGACTAGAACAGCTATGAATACATTAAGACTTTTTGCAAAATGGAAATCAAACTTCCTTTCCTGAAAAAAATAAAAATCTTAATTACTTTTTAGCTCCATCTGTCAGAAAATTAACTCAGTTTAACTCTTTCTGTTAAGTCTTCTATTTGTTACATCTAAGAAAAAAAATACCACGAATCAATTTGAACATAAAGGTTTTAAATCAAGCATGATTATCTGCTCAATATACCGATAATTGCTTTTTACAATCCATGCTACATATTATATTCTCTAGCAACTTCTTTTATTGTTTTGCAAATTACATCGTATTAGCAAAACTAAGAACATGTAGAAGTGTCAGATTAATAAAGAGTATGGCGCACAAATTACAAAAGGGCATGTAAGTTTACTTTGACAGTATGAAATTTTAGTGGTTCAAATTAATAAAAATTACTCGAACATGGGATAAGAATATTTGTCATGAGAACAGAAAAATAAGGAACTCATTTCCTTTGAAGGTGCATTTATACTACTCTAAAAAATAGGGCTCTGACTAAAAAAGTGTCATAATGGTGCTTTTTTAATACTGGAATTGTAGCTGCATCCACATTGACAAGAATGTGTATATGTGCATATAAAATATACACTACTGGAATTTTGCTACAAAATTGTCATTTCATTTGTCAGCTAAATAACATCTGACTTGCTTACACAATCTAATTTGAGGGGAGTGGATTTGAAGCACTGCCTTCTTCATTTAGAAGCTGTGAAGATTTCTGAAAACCTTCCCTTTTTCTCAAGAACATTTCAGTTTTATGTTGCAGAACAAATGTATTTAAAGCCCAACTGATTATTTTTGCAGCAGATTTCATGGGAAGGTAGACTTGCTCTTCAAAAATACCCTGTGTAAAATCTTTGTCTGCGACAGAGGCTTTCTGAATAATATTAACTGGTTGCAAGATGAAGCTGTGTCTGGACTCCAGCTCTGTCAAATCGTTCCCACTAAAATCCATTTCCAAATTAACTGGCTCTTCAAACTTCAGCCATGTTTTGGCTTGCTGACTATTCCATTGCTGTGGATTTGTACTCCTTTTTGGAGGAATATCATTGCTTAATTGAAGTCTGTCCTCCTCGCTTGACACTGCTGTGCTCAAGGTCAGGTCTCCAAAATCTGTTGGGATGATAGGTTGAGCCTCTTGGGTTGTCAGCCCACTCGAACCTTCATCTGTTTCAGCAGAGCTCATTCCCTGCAAGGAAAATGATGTGGATGATTCATCCAAGTTCCCCCTGGCATTAGCAGTGTGAGCCTTTGCTCTTTGATTTTGCTTAGAGTAACTGTTCAGCAGTGCAAAGATTCTATCTACATCCTTCAAGTAATTTCTCCAGTCATCAGGACTAACTCTGTAGTTGTTTCTGGCTTCATATAAACTTTCATTCACACTGTACAAATCTTCCAGTCCTTGCCAGTTGATGCTTTCTGTGAAATTTGGGAGCTTAGCCTTCCCATCCATGCCATAAGTGTCCTCTGTCAAAAAGAAAAAAGAAAGCAGCCTGTAACATTTGATATTAGGCATGTGTAGCTTGGCTCAGATCTGATTCAAATCATTGCCTTTGATTCAAATCATAATTTAATTTGGAAAGTCAAATCAGTTCCATTTGGTGCTCCAATCTGATTTTCCAAATTGATTCAAGAGTATCTAGTTTGATCACTGATTCAAAATGATTCACAGATCCAATTAAGAAACCAGTCATTTGAATTTAATCTCTGTATCTAATGTTTGAACAACCCTATTTAATAATTGCCATCTTCTCAGTTGAATAGTGAAATATATGGAGATCCTTACATGCTAAGACCTTTTTTTCAGAATTTTAGCACACTGGTTGTAATGAGAAAAGAAAAGACCACCTCTTTTAATTTTAGGCTGGGATTTATAATCAATACTTTACTATTACCCAAAGAGCTCAAGTGAGATGTGTGTTGTTAATATCAGGCAACAGCATTCTCTTGCACTTGTTCAAAGCAGCTCTCATTCAATGTAATGAAAGTGAATTTGCTTTAGAAATTCTTCCAATGAAGAAAAGCATTGCAGAAACATTCGCATGGATTTCTTGCTGTTACAGTGATCTTGGCATTTATTTAGTTGCAAGGTAGCCAAAGCATGTTTATGAATGGTCTATCATTATACACTCATTTCTCCACACTTTAATTAAATCCTAAGGGATCTTAAGGAAACTCCTTCTATTGGAGAGTACTTCTAATAATTAAGAAAGAATTCTCCCTTTGAAGAAATAATGATGATGATGATGATGATGATGAATATGATCTAAATTTTGATGTTTCCAAATCTCTGTAAAGCACAGGGCTTATAATAATATACTCAGATATAGTAAAACTTACCCAGTAAAGCAAAGCACAATACGGTCCATAACAAAAAGCAATAGTTACTACATAGTAAATAAATAAATTGGTGAATGATTGTGGTAATGCTTTCTCCCCTCAGCCCCCTTCACCTCATCAAATTGGGGCACCACAAGCAGCTTCTCCCAGGAGGATCTTCTGAGATGAGTTTAATCTGGCTGGAGTGGGTGGTCCTGCAGATACCTAGGTACCAAGCCGTATAGGGCTTAGGGAATTTTTCTTTCCACTGGAGATGTGGATATATCAAGACAAAGCAAGAATCAGGTTAACTTTTTTAGCTTAAGTAGAACCATTTAAAAAATCAAATGCTATAGAAGAATCACTTAAGAATAAGTGCTGTTGCAAACTTCTATAGCATTTAAATTGTTTTACCTTTACATTGCAGCTAATAAAGAGTTCACCTGCTTCTTGCTTTATCTTCATAATACTTCTCAGCTTTATTAACCTGGTTTTGCTTTGGTTCTGTCCAACTTCTCTGCGCAAAACTGGAAAAGCTAGCTATGCCCAGCTCCAGAAAAAGACGTATGATAGCATTCCCTAATCTGGTACCTTTCAAATGGATTGGGCGATGCTGACTGTCAATAATGGGAATTATAGAACAATATATATGGAGGAGAATAGGTTAAAACAGACTGGGGTGAAATGAACCCACCCAAAACAGAACCTATGCTTTTTCCCACCAAACATTTAAAAAGGCACACATTCAAACATTTCAGAAAAGAAGTTCTTACCCAAGGGATAACAACTGATTTCAAGAGTTGTAACCTTGTTTTATCTCTGTGTAATAACTATTATTATAAAAAGAAATACTTCTGTGGCTGCAATAAGACTCTTCATGACCTACCCATGTTGCCCAGTTACCTCGGTTTTCCATAATTTTTCATCTTTAAAAAAGAAGCCAGTAATTGGGAGAGGGGAAGGGTAGATTTGTAAGTTTAAAGAATGATTTATATATTCTTTTAAAACGTAACAACAAATGGAAAAACAATGGCATTTAATGTATAAATATCCCTATAGGCAATAGCAACATTACCAAGAACTAGACTCATTGGGAAGCTCATGGAAATGGCAACACTGAACTAGAGGCTGATGAGGATTTATTATAGACACTAAATGCAAACATGGATGCTGAATTACACTGACTATACAGAAACAGTGGAGTCACCAAGGAACAAAGGGAGGCATTAGCATGCTTGGAGAATCCCAAAACCTGTGGACAAATTCTTTTCCTATCAAAAAGGAAGCAAAAGATCTTATCCAATGAAGACGGAGCGTGCTCAGTGGCCACAACCAAATATTTGGGGAGTTGGAAAGAGAAGCAGAAATGGAGTGGAATTAAAATGACAGTCAACAGCATGCAACAACTTTATTATAGAACCAATTTGTAACTAGTAATTTTTAGGGTGATGGGTAATCTTAATCTTTGTCACTGAATGTATGCCACTGTAGGCAACGTCTAAGGAGGAGCAACAGAACAGGGTGTTACATTGAAAACCTGTCTGTACTTTCTATGACTAGTGACAAAAGTACTCAGCTAAATCATGAACTTAGGTTTTATATTCTTAAGGAATATAGAGAAGAAAAGTTCCAATTAAATTTTGGATAGAAAGGCAGAGGGAGGTTTTGTGTGCATAAAAAAAAAAAAGCTGCCCTACTATAATTAGTCAATCAGCAGTGTGAGATTGTTCCAAATGGCTTTGGTATTAATGATGCCAATTACATAGCAAATTTTCACCGAAAGAGGGAGGGTGCAACTCAGAAGAGGCCCATTAGGAATTAATACAGAAAAGAACCTGGTACTAGGGAAAACATCAGAAAGAATTCAAACATTAAAAAAACGAATTAAACAAAAAATGAAGGTGAAAACCAAAATCAAAATGGTATAGGGCAATATGGGAAATTTCAGCCATATTAGAACAATGTTTCCAAACCTAGTATCTTCTGGATGGATCAAGAATTCCAGAACTCTAAGCCAGAGGGTTCCATGGTTGTACGATAGAGACATAATGGAAGTGCCATTGCAACATATCTAGGGAGTGCCAGTTTGAGGAAGATTACTCTAGAGAGTATTAGGTTACTCAGGGTAGTTCGGTGTAGCAGCATTGTGGGGTCTTTCTGAATACAGGTAGTTCTCAGGTTATGACGGCAACTGAGACTGGGAACTTCATCACTAAGTGACATGGTCGTAAAGTGCAACTTCATGTAACTGTAATCTCTTAGTGATGGCAATTCCGGCAGACCCTGTTGCCATCGTTAAACAAGGACCATGTGGGTTGTTAAGCAAGGACCTCATGTGATCGCAACTTTTGACTTCCTGACGGCATCCTGATTGACTTTGCTTGTGGGAAACCAGTAGGGAACTTTGGAAATCACGATTACATGATCGTGGGAATGCTGCGACAGCCAGAACTCCAAGGACCTGTTATAAATCCCCCTCATTCAGTGCCATTGTAGCTTTGAATGATTGCTGAGCGAATGGTCACAACCCGAGGACTACCTGTACAGAACTTTGATAAGAGAAGCACAAGAGGTGAGGAAGACAACATAGAATATGTTACAAAACTCAGAATGCCCCAGGAGAGAGAGTTATTTTAAAAACTCTATCATATTTTCGTGAAAGGCAGATCCCCCTGAACTTAAGACAACTGTTTTCTCAAAAGAATGAATTATAAACACAGGAAAAAAATCCTTGCAATGCCAAACTTTCTCTCCTTGCCAAACGTGGCTTGCCAATTCCAGCTGAAACTGGAAAAATTTACCACCCTCCCAGTTTGTGTCTGTGATGCACTTGTATATGTGTGTGCTTACAGGTATGCCTGTACATATAGCTTCTAGAGGGCATGCTCCAAAAAAGAACAAAAAATAAATGTATATTAATTGATTACAATTACATGGTACCTTGGGTCACGAACTTAATTCGTTCTGCGACTCTGGTCGCGACCCAAATTGGTCACGACCTGAATCAAATTTTCCCATAAGGTTCAATGTAAATACGGTTAATCTGTTCTGACCCCTCCGAATTTGGTCGCGACCCGATTTTGGTCGCGTCCCGAATCAAATTTTCCCATAAGGTTCAATGTAAATACGGTTAATCTGTTCTGACCCCTCCGAATTTGGTCGCGACCCGATTTTGGTCGCGTCCCGAATCAAATTTTCCCATAAGGTTCAATGTAAATACGGTTAATCTGTTCTGACCCCTCCGAATTTGGTCGCGACCCGATTTTGGTCGCGTCCCGAATCAAATTTTCCCATAAGGTTCAATGTGATTACAGTTAATCTGTTCTGACCCCTCCGAATTTTGTCGCGACCCGATTTTGGTCGTGTCCCAAATCAAATTTTCCCATAAGGTTCAATGTAAATACGGTTAATCTGTTCTGACCCCTCCGAATTTTGTCGCGACCCGATTTTGGTCGTGTCCCAAATCAAATTTTCCCATAAGGTTCAATGT